TGGTAATCTGCTCTGGGTTGTTTTCTTGCTTGCTGTTAATTCACATGTACATATTGACATTTCTGTGTACCTCCAGAACTTTAATAAACAGGTCCAGGCCCTGGTTCTCAATAAAATGGCGGCAGGTTGTTGGTGATTCGTCAGTGAGGTTCCAGAGAGCGCTCAGTGTAAATTTGAGGGTGGCGTCCACCATGCCCTGAGTAGCCTTCTGACGCACAATGTGGAGCAGTTGCTGCAGGGGGGAGAGAGAACATTTGCTATGAAAATTTACATTTTAAATGACTAAAGGTGGAAGAGACCAGAGCTGAGATTTGAAGCTTACCTTCACTATGAACAACTCTGCTCCCAGTTGAGCCGTCTGCTCTGTGGACAACTGGGAAAAGGAAGTGTCTATGAGATTAGGAATAACCTGGCAAATGTGTTGAGTATGCATGAATAACACAAAACAACATATACCTTAGCAGCCAGTATGGAAATGATAGCCACGGCCATCCTCTGCATGTTCTGGTCTTCGTGGTTGCAGAGCCACTGCATCACTAGTTTGGCAGCTTCAAACCTTACAAACAGAAAAGAAGCAAAACATTTCTAACACAGTACATCTTTGACACCTTTATTTTGGTTTCCTGCTTTGCTTCCACTGACACACATTTACTTTTTTAACCCTTTATATATAATTAGTCCTTTTTTTTTTTTTTTTTCTTTGTAGCCATTTCAAAAGTACAATATTAGAAAAAATGATAGTAAAATTTGTATTTCTCACCTGTTGAATGGAACCTCCTGTAAAATGCGATCACTGCACAGAGACAGCAGGCAATTCTTCTGCAGCTATAGACAGAGAAACCATAACAGGCGTCAGTCCAGAAACAATCTGTTAATGTACTTTTCGCTTCACATTGTGTTATACGGTTTCATTATTTTGTCTCACTTTAGGTCTGTAATTGTAAAAAAGGTAACATTATATGTGCAGTTTTCATTGTACCCATTGTATTGAACAACATTTATAGATTAAATACAGATAGTGTACATGTCACTTTCCACAATGACTTGTTCTGACCGAAAAATATCATCTGAACTGAGAAAGTCTGTAGTGTGAACATAATCTTAATACTTTCCAAACTTAAAGATTTTCTTTATTATGGTGTCTTTTACAATGAGCTGCTATGCTATTACCATTTTATTTGATTTTGTTCTGCTTTTTTTGTGTTCTGTAAAGTACATAGCAGGTTCAATATTAAAATGTTTAAATCAGTTTCAAAAAAATAACAAGATTTCCTTCAATTTAATTTAGAATTGCATTAACAGGTGAAGGGGGAGGTTGTAGCTCAGCTTCAATTGTTAGCCCTGCCTTAAAAAAAAAGAAACTGGCTTGGCTGGTCCATCACTGATGGAAACTGGTGACTCACTAAGACCTGTATCGTTGGTTTCTTTTCTAAAAGTTTCCTGTACTGGTGAACTGTGAATGCCTAGGACTAGGACAGACATGGAGCTACCTGCTGGTGGTTGGGGAATGTCCTCATGGCCTCCAGCAGGAGCTGAGTGACGGTACTCAACAGTCGCACTGGCATTCCCGCTGCCAGGTCCTGCTTCGTCAGGTTGAACACACAGGCACTGGCTGCCAGCTGGACGTTCAGTGTGGCAGGGTGATTCCTCATGCCCAAAACTACCAGCTACAATAAAACAAGAGAAGAAGGAGGTGGAGCAAGAAATGTGACACTCCATTGCTTAACACATAAATGTGGTTTGGATATAACATTATATGTATTGCGTAAGCATGATAATACAATATAATAATAATAATAATAACAAATAATATGATAATGTACATTGTTTACACCGAGAGAAGGAAAAACAAATTCTGTCTTAAAAAAGATCAAGGGTGTAACATTTAGGTGGATCTATCTACTATATATATACACACACATATATATATTTTCACTGATATATTAGTGTAAAATCACCTGAAAATAAGAATCAACATGTTTTCGTTGCCTTAGAATGAACTGTTTTTATCTACAGATGGAGTTGAACTGCAATCTTTCTACAGTAGCCCAGAAGGGACAAATGAAACACTAGTTCTAGATAGGGCTGTTCATGTTTTTCGCATGTTTAGTGGCCACCGTTGGTTTATCTCAGTTGTAAGGGGGGGAGATGAATGAGTTGCAATCTTCGACCAAACCCTACACACTGGTCCTTTCATTGAAAGAGCTAAATTACTTAGTTTCCCAGTAGAAAAATGTGAGTTTACTTTAAGGATGTCAGGCCTCGGTTTCTCCATGACGTGGGTCAGGCTGAACAGATGAAACAGAGCTTCTCTCACAAAAGCTTCCCTCTCGCTGTAGCGACGCAGGGCCTCACAGATCTGGGTCTCGTTGGCTTCTCCTGTTACCTGTTTACACACAAAAGACAGTTCACTGTAGCAAACTTAAATGATCAGTGTTATCAGCGTTTATTTTTCAATCTATACCTACCTTCAGATTTCCTTGTCCAGAGAGGAAGTCAGAAAATCCAGCATCTGTGGCCAGAAGTCCCAAAAAGGTCATCCCTGGTCTCTCCTCAACAAATGCCTTCACAGCTGCATCTGTCACCTGCAACATTCACACAGGTAAGAAATGACAACTTGGCTCCACAGACTGTATGCTGTCTTTGCATTGTTACTGAAACACGAACACACACACACACACACACACACACACACACACACACACACCTGTTTCCTCCCTGACACATCCAGGGAAACAAGAACAGGCAGGATCCCTGGCTGTCCAAGCAGTTGACGAGCCACGTCAGAGGTAAACTGCTTATCATCACTGATGTCCAGGTGCTGTGTAGGCAGGGTTTCACACAAACACATAAGTATTTTTTACTAAAACAGAAACAAGCATGGTTGATGAAATCACAGGGAAAAGGTTCTTCTCAGTGCAAATCAATCAAATAGAACCAGGTTTAGAAGAGGAAACACAGCTCCATCCTACCACTAACCTGCAATACATCCAACTGGCCTATGACTCCCAGTAGCTGAGCAGTGCTCATCTCCAGCCTTTTCAGCTGGTGCAGTGTTAGTGAGCGCAGCCGCTCCTTCAGGCCCAGCAGTGGGCTCAGATTGGTTACTGAAGTGTTGGAGAGATCGAGGCTCTCCAGCCGAGGCAGGGAACACACGTCTGCAAGCCCAGAGTCATAGAAGTCTACGTTGGCAAGAGAGAGGGAGCGGAGGCCCTGGAGGGAGCTGAAGCGATATCGGATTGGTTCCTCCAGAGAAGACATGGTCAGACCTGTTAAGACAAGTCGCTGGAGGGACTCCTGCAGGATGTTTCCAGAAGAAACAAACAGTTTTAATAATAATAAAAGTTTAAATTTGTAATATCAAGGGAGGAGATTTTTTTATTCTTCTTTTTTTAAGTAAACTGAAATTTAGTCACTTTACCTGACAATATTTATTGGTGGCCAGTCCCTGTAGAATATCAGGAATAGTGAGGTCTGCATTGACCCTGGCAGCATCCAGCTCCAGCAGTCTGTGAGGGCAGAGGGCTTTCTGGAAGGCCTCTGCAGAGATCCGTGCTGTACGGATGCAGGCTCGTCTCAGCCGCAGGTATTCACAGTTTCGAAATACACCCACTGTGCTGTCATTCAACGGCCCTGTAGTGGAATGAAGTAGAGTTAAGGTTCACCTTTGGGTTAGGGTACATGCAGGAATGAGCAAGATCCTTGCACAATACGGCCTCTGTTTACCGAGGGCAGAGTTTTAGATCTGATGACAACATACCACCAGACAAAGTGGCTCAATGATTTCACACATTTTATCATTATTATTTAAAGGGTATAGCAGAACCTGTTAAAAGTCAGTCAGGCTTTTATTTTCGTCAAGTAATAACTGGAATAATTCAAACTAAAAAAAAGGATCAAGTGTGAAAAGTATCAATACTTTTTAAAACAACAAGTTTAAAACAATACTAGCACTCGGTAGTATGTACCGAAACTATTTAAAAAATATACAAATCAACAATCATATTTCCAATCCAAAACTGCACATTTGAAACCACAGGAAAGAAAATCAACTGGTCTTCACTGTGTGCAGATTGTTCTTCTTCTTTTTTTAAAGTAAAAATCGTATTTTGTGTACTTGTTTTCTTTCTTTTTACCGAGTTATCGAAAGATCGAGTATCACTTTTTGTACTAGTATTGTTGTATCGTATTGCATTATACATTCTGGTATTCTTAATGTTGTTCACAAATGTCTTTAGAAGTCTACATTTACCTTCCGTGGCCATCTTGGCCAGCAGCTGGTCTGCTAGCTCCTGTGGGAAGAGTACAGCCTCTCTGAAGCACAGGGAGCCATCAGGGCGCTTCACACAGAAGCACTCCAGGTTTTGGCTCACATAGGTCAGACACAGGTCTGTCAGAGCCGCCGGAGAGGAATCATCCTGAAAACAACAACAAAGGGATTTCATTTACCGATACGCGACATTATCTCTAACCACACATATAAATGCTGTGTGAAATGAACTTACCGTGCTTAGGAAACTACTGGCCATGGCCATGGTTTAAAATAAACACAACGTCTAGTTTTAGCTTATGCCGCCGAGACTGGTGTATTTCTCAGCACGGAGAACGGCTGCTTTTGTTCGCTAGCCGTTGGTAGCCGTTGGTAGCCGTTGGTAACCGTTGGTAGCCGTTGGTAGCCGTTGGAGCTCGCAGCGTTCACCTGTCTGAGAGTCTGCCGTTGTGTTCGGAGGAGAAGACGATGGACGTTAGCGGCGAAACCAGCTAGCTAGCTCACTTGTCGTCGTCTCCGTTGAGGAAAATCGCTCTCCGCGCAGAAATGTCGAAAGCTGTCTGCTGTGGTGGAATTCATGTTTAAAAATATGTGGACAATTTCTGTAGCGACCGAAACTCGGAATCAAGGGACGAATGTGCGGTTATAGTTGTTCACAGCCGCCAATTATGTCTATTTTTGAGTAGACTGACAGTAAACAAAGGTCATAGCACTGGAAGTACATCAGCGAGGGGGTTGGACTACGGAAGCCGGCGAAGGAGGGTTATGAAACCAGGAAGCGATCATCAGGAGAGTGGAGACACGCATGATTATGTACTCCTTCTGTTTTCAAAGGAGAACTATCTAATGAGATATTATATACTATAGTACGCTTTTATTACAACTCTATGGTTCACGGTAAGGGTCTTCTGTTGAGGGATTTATTTGAGTGAAACGCGTTTGTAACATCGCTCAGTAACTCATTCACCAAGGTCACTCTTAGCAGTGGATGTGGGAGCTGAGCCTTCAGTCCATGTGAGTATAGGAAAGTTCAAAGACTGTAGTGCAAGTTGCAGTATGGCTGGATTAATCAACTTTGAAGATGAGAAGGAAGTGAAGCAGTTTTTGGATAATTTGGGAGTAGAGTACAGCTTCCAGTGCTACAAAGAAAAGGATCCTGAAGGTAAAAACACTGCGCTGTCCACAGCTCACTGGTGCTGAAACAATGGGGAACTACATGTTTGATCTGTGTTCGTTATGCTTGCCTTGTCATTTATCCTTGTGACATGTTTTCTTAGGGTGCCAAAGGCTCGCAGACTACTTTGAAGGGGTGAAGAAGAACTATGAATCTGCAGCACAAGTGCTCAAACAGAACTGTGAGACGCACGGACATGGAGAGAGCTGCTATAAACTGGGGTCTTACCATATCACAGGCAAAGGTAAAACAGTACTGTGCCTTATTGCTCTCATTATACATCTTCTCTGGTGTTTGGGATCCTTCTGTGTTACACTTACTCTAAAAAGTTTAAAAGTTTTAAGGTTAAGTTTTATTATTGAGGTTTTACGGGTTGAAGTTAGTGTTTATATTGCAAGATACAATTTTACAAGAAACATATGAAAACAATATTAATTGTGATGATTTCTTGGAGTTTCAATTACTCAACAGCAGTAGTTAAGTAACTGGACCACCTACTACATAGAAGTTAGTGTTGTAAATGAGTAGCTGGCTAAAAATAAATATCTGTTCAAAAGGCTTTTTCTTTATCATATAACTGTAAATTCAGTACACTTGTAGTTTTACTATTTGTTCAGACTAAAAAAAAGCAACTTTAAGGCAACAGATTTGACCATGTATGTGCACATTTTTTAAACTTTTAATTTAGATACTTTTACTTGCTTAAAATCTTGCATGCAACAAAGGTGTTTTAATGTTGTATGTGTCTTTTTTTTATTCAAGTGATGGATTTTACTTCTTCCTACAGGTGGAGTGACTCAGTGTCTGAAAACAGCATACTCCTGCTTTATGCGCTCCTGCAATGCTGGAGGAAAGAAGTCTATAGATTCCTGCCATAACGTTGGTCTGTTAGCCCACGATGGACGAGCTATGGAGGGAGGACCCGACCTCACAGCAGCTCGGCAGTACTACGAGAAGGCCTGCGCTGGTGGCTTCGCTCCGTCCTGCTTTAACCTCAGCGCTTTGTTGATTGAGGGCAATTCCAAAGGCCTGCCACCAGATATGACTGCAGCTTTGAAGTACGCTAACAGGGCTTGTGAGCTGGGACATGTGTGGGGCTGCGCCAATGCTAGTCGTATGTACAAACTTGGGGATGGTACGGAGAAGGATTTAAAGAAAGCAGAGGAGCTGAAAAATCGAGCGAGGCAGCTGCATGGTTTGGAGAAGGAAAGGCAGCTCAAGTTCGGGGAGTGAATGTGACACAGTTAAATTCAAGGCTCATTGTTTTGGTTTGTCTACACACGTGGTGTTCAGTCAGGTTGGTTTTTGAGAACAAGTATAAGTGTGCACAAACAAAACCTGTTCAGGATGGTTCAAAGGCAAGAGATGGTCTGTTTAAAAAAAGATGGTGAACATTTTTACATCCTTTACACTCTGTAGACACTGTTTGTATAGGAAGATTTCAGCCAAATGTATTCAAGATAACGTAAATTTAAACAATAAAATGAATTGTGATTCATGTGTTGTAGCTGATTATTAATTATGCCTTTGAAAGTCTATGATTTGTGGTGTAGAAACTGATGGCATGAGCTTATAGGGTCAAAGGGCAGTTACACTGTCATCAGATCATTTTCTGTCTTCATACAGTATTTCATATGAATATGTCATCTGTATGTTGTTGATATTATATAGCACTGTTTGAAAATTAATTTTTATTTTGTTTTATTTTGAACAAAACCTAGAAGAGAGAAATGGACAAACCTTGTGGAACATGACAAATGTGTGGGGCCTCAAGTTGAGATGCTCTTGAGTACCCGACTGTCAGTGATGGGCACAATATCATTAAAACTGGTGAACACCAATTAAATGTCTTAATGATCAACTACAGTAGGACATAGTGCCTAAAGCCCATGTAATACCGGGTAGTTTCACCGTCACTGGAGCGGGCACAACGGCGGTAGCACCACAAGAGGGAGTCAGACTCAAAGACATGAACTTTGCGCCCTTTTCAAATCTCTCACAGGGCGCTTTATCAGCAGCCACTACAATAGGTTTATTTATTTATACCTTTTATCAACATTATAACCCCACGCTGTTTCAGCAACCTGCAGCTAATGCAGACACTGGCAAAAAAAAGGGTCTAAAGCTAGCTCTAAACTAAGCCTGTGTGTTGAGGATGATGGGCGGACTGGTCCGGTTGCATGCTGGAAGCTCCGCCCGTCGTGCGCCTCCTCAGTCCTCATTCAAAACAGAACACAGCTGTTGAGAGGCGCATCGTCGTGTCCTGAGCGTTAGCCTCAAAGCTGTTAGCGGGCTGCTGCTGCTGCTGCTGCTGTCTTCTGCTGGCCTCTGATGAACCCGCTGGAATATCAGGAGAGGAAAGACAACACCGGCGCACTTCGGTGAGTTACACAACTGTACGAAGTTACAGTTACACACACACACACACACACACACACACACACACACACACACAGAGCCGTCGAGGTAGCTAGCCAACGTAACGTTAAGCCACGGAGCGGTTTGGATGTGTTTCTTTTTATATGCAGGATGCTCCGTTATCAAAGTAAATCGGCCTCCGTAAAGAGGAGGGGGGGGCTGTGAGGTGTGGGGGAACCGATGAGAGAGAGACCTGGTCCCTGTTTTTGTAACGCAGACTGTCTGTAGCTGTGTGCAGTGGTTTATTGGAGCCATTATTTTATTTTCTCGTCCACCCACGTGAAGACACGGTCGCCCCGCCGCACACGGCAGCACCGAGGAGTTTAATATAATGCTAATAATAAATCATGCGCTCCCTCTTCGAGCTAAGTTAGCCACCGAATCAAGCTAGCGGGAATGGCAACATGCTAATGTGGAAACCTCTGAGAAAACAGCGAGGAGAGTCAGTGAGTTAGCAATTTGTGATTCATTCCGTGCAGTTTTACTTTTGTTTACTTCAGTCGCCACACAGTTCACTGTTGTTTAAGGGAGACGGGGGTCGGGGGCGGGGGGCTTTATGTCTACCCGTTTGTACTGTTAGCCCAGCAGAGCTTATGAACAGCCTTACCCGCTGCAGGCGCTCTGCTCTGGGTAGCTCATTGGCGGCGAACCCCCTGCACAGTTGCCCTCCGGGGAGTGCTTTGGGTGTGGCGTGGGTTCACCCACGAACAATAATGTGTACGACCGTAGCCTATCTTGTCTTAGCTGTAGCATATTTTGGGTTATAAAATAGGCACAAAAGACAAGACGAGAGGGTGTTTTGAGTCTGAGAAAGGGCTGACCAACCGCTCTCAACCCCGATGCCCTGAAATTATTCAAATGAGGCAAAGTTTCAGAGCATGAGCTGGAGAGGTTCCTCCCATGTTCAGCTGCTAGGTGTTTGTGAAGTTAGTCACTCACAACAACACTCACATTCAGCAAGCTGCTCTACATGTGCCTTATAACCGTCTACATCCATTAATGTAATCTAATTTGCCAATCAATAACATCATTTTAAATGAGTGATAGTCTTCAATTAGATATTTATTTCTTGTAACCCTATGCCAAACACGCTTTATAATTCCAAAAAGCATACAGGCCAGACGTTTATCATTATTTGGGCAGTGTCTGAAGGTATGTTGACCTTTTCATGTCAAATGAATCTGTGACAATGTTGGTCTGATAAGAGTGGTCAGTGCAACAATCTGCTCAAACTTTTGGGAGCTGTCCCACCACACTTCACTTTATCTGTCGTTGTTTCCTTAATTTGTGAGGTCAGGAATATGTAAAGATAAGTACATGCGCTGGAGGCACGCACACTTGCGAGGGATAGCTCTATTAACTGTCAAGCAGAATTCATTATAATCTGAATTTACGCCCTTTTCACTATTAGGCTGCCTTTTTTCTCTGCAAACAAAGCCTCCCTCTGCTCAGACCTCCTATCTAACACACTCTTTGTCAGTCTCCTGTGTGACGTTGCTGTTGCGAGCAACCCATTTTAAAGGGCTCTAAGGAATGTTCCATATCGATATTTAGTATGGTTGTGTGGAGCTGCTGTTCTCGACACTTAACATATGACCCAGAGGTCGCTGGTTCAGACTCATGACTGGCGTGCCTTAACAGTGCCGTGGTGTCGTGTTAGGCAGTAAAGGCTGCTCATTTGGCTTCAGTGTTCTCCAACAGTAAAAAGATGCAGGATGTGTATTCATTAGGTAGTGTCGAGGATCGCTGTGGTACTAGTTCTGAAGGCATTGGTTAATTTAGTGGTTTAATAATAGTACAATTAATTTTAATTTAAGCCCAAAAGTTGAGATGAAACAATTATTTCCAAATGCAGGAGGTCTTCACATTTACTTGTTCTGACTCAGGCTAACCCCAGGAGAGCGCTGTGATAGTTGTTATAGTGTACCAGTGAAAGTTTGACCTGCAGGACATGGACAGTGGGTGTGAAAGGGTACATCTGAAACGTTAACCGAAGCAGTCTTACAAGGGCTTAGGTCTTAATCCAATACAGTATGGTTGATTCAGTATTCTATCCAGTGTGGAGATTTGCACTGTTGTTCTAAAGCAACACAAGTCCCATCTGTACTTCTATTTACAAATGTTGCAATGACTTATCATTGTGTGTTTTTGGATTCATCCTGTTCTTCCTCAGAGCGTCACGTTGCATATCTGTTGCTTGCCAACAGTAACAGTGTGAGTGCCCAGAGGATATGCTAAAGCACACTTGGTTGGGAGGCCGTTCTTATTTTCAGTCACACCACTTTCTGTATAACACATAATTATCTACGGCTGAATGTTTTGTCGTTGCAAGCATGTAAGCCAACAGCTGAAAACATTGTGATGTCGCAGTCAGAGGGAGAAACTCGTTCAGAGGATATACCTTTAGGATTCAATTCCAGTTTTCTATTTCTGAATCACAATATGTGCTTGGATAAGACTCCCCTCATTGCCATTTGAGCACCAGCTACTTTTTAGACACCGTCCCTTGGTAACTCTACATACCACCTCCACCTTCTGGGCTAAGCTAATCCCAGAGATGCCTCGTGTACGTGGGCCCATCTGTTCAGCACTGTGGTGTAACTGCTCTGTCCAAGGCCTGCAAATGTGATTAGTTAGAGATTACATCTGTGTGTGTGAAATGAAACTCCCCTTTCCGAATCAGAGCTGTGTGTTTACAAGAGAAAGGGATAAAACACTGAAGCACGTTTGCGTCATCAAGTTCAGTCCCTGGTCTTTCTCAGGTTATATGTCTCTGCTCTGCATTGCGTCATATTCACTACACAGTTTATGTGAAATGTTTCGGTGCAAGCAAGTGTGTAACATATAGAGCACAGCATACTGTTTGACTTCCTCTCTGAGTGAATAATTTTGTAGCCTCCTTCTGAGTACTATACATATTCTAGAGGCGTTTAGGTCCGCATCAAGCCTTTTCTCTGTGTGACCTCCAACCAGTGCTGTTGCTCAGTTGCCAGGGTAACTTTATGCGTGTGTCTGGCACATCCATTCAGCACAGATGGAACTGCGAAGTCACATGTCGTCACACTCTTCCTCTGATGCCTTCCCAGCCTCGGCTCTGTTGCCACCAGTACAAATACAAAGCTAGTTATCTGTGCTCATTTTCTGCTCCGGTTTTTTTGTCAACTCCACACAGTCATCCAACTTCTCTGTTACTACAGTGAGTAGTATAAAAGATATCTGAGCTTGACAAGTTGTTTTGGAACACTGATAATACCATTGTGTGCGATTGTGTGTTTGATAAAGACTTCTTATATATGAGGTGTTTCTAATGTTGCTGGCAGTCGGGTGAAGTGGGTGTTGTAGATGTGAGCTTGGCTAACACCTGACTAGCTGACTGCGTGCATGTCTGTGTGCGAATGTGTGAGAAGGAGATAAAAGACAAGGATAATGCACGTCCTAGCTTTCACTCATAAATATCAGAGGCAGGCACTATGTTTCACTGCGTAGGTTGAGCAATGGGCCTTTTTTGTTGTACACAGAACAACGTTTTGAGGAAGTTGTGCAAAGCCACCTCTTCGTGTTGTTATGAGTGTATTTACCATGTGGTTCCTGCTGTGTTGTAATCACAGCTCTTGTTTAGAACTAGTGAGGCCACCGAGAGCAGTTGGGACACTGACAGAAGACCATACACACACACTTGTGACTGATGGCTGACACTCTCTCTCACACACACAGACAAAACACACCCTGCTAAACGCACGCCACAATAGGCCTGGCGGCGGCAGGAGGCGTGCCGCTTTTTAGAACATTTTAGCCTGAATTTAACCGCTGATGGGAAAGGCTCACACATGAAGGACTGTGCAACGGGTGGACTACTGCACAACCATACCCCTCTCTCCTCTCTAGTTCCTAGCTCCTCATTTGTGTTAGTTTGCTCTCTGTTTCTTTTTCTCTGTGCTTTCTTGTGAGTGGGATCTGATGCTATTTTAAGTCCTGTGTTGTCCGCCTAAGATTCGTTCTGTCAAATTATTAGGCAGTATCCCTCACAATGTGTTGACATATACTACATTTACAAATCCATTAGGGCTGCCTCTAAAGGTCGACTAATCGTTAGTCCCTGAGAATAATCTTATCCGACCCGCTTTTCGTTATTCGGATAGACGCAAAAAAAGCAAAAACGTCACTCACAACTCCATTCGTGAGTTTTAAACAGCAAGACTTGTGCAATGTTATACTGTCTCCTTAGTGTTTTTTCCGACACATTAAGGATTATTAGCGCATTTGCTGTTAGCATTTAATAGATAAAATATAGATATATATGCATTTAAATAGGGATGGGGCCGATCCGATCCAGTATCGGGACCGATACCAGCGTAATTCACATATCGGATTTTCCCGATCCAACCTGCAGAGATATCCGATATCCATGAGCCATGTCTGTGCTTTTAACGATGTCTGCTGAGACGACTCCACAAGTGATTCCTGCCGGCCAGTCTGCTAGCTGGCTGCAAACTGTGGAATGGATTTCCTGAAGGAGGAGCGGCTCAATGAGACAGAGTTATGACACACGCCCCCGCCAATGTCTAATAAGGGAGAAGTTCCACTCTCGGTACACTTCTGTCTTCTGAACTGTTGCAGTTCCATATGAGGGCGCTCACAGGATGAGTGCAGAATGAATGGCGGTCTATGGAGCCTCAAAATCCACTTTTCTCAGGATATAATTTTTTGTCTAGTAATTTGAATGTTGCATTCGAAAGGGGATGCAAAGAAATTACACATTGCTGGGTGTTAGATTTTTTAGAGTCACTTATTTGCTTTAAAAAGTCTTTTAAAATGTCAATGACATCATACACAACGTGCGGCCAGAGATGCTGCTTTACGGCAAGCCTCGAGTCACTTTGTGCTTCTGCGCTCTGCACTTCCTTTTCCCTCGAGGCATCGACACAGCTGACACAGGTTAGGCTCTCCCTGTCAATACACGTGCTAGAAAGAGTTTTTGTTTTGCTGTTTTAAACACCACGCCGAAATATCTATGTCCCGCTTCGGATGCCACGATGCCTTCAAGCGGGATCTCTGGTCGTAATCAGTCCTTCACTGACCAATCAGCGTTCATTAGCAGAATGCTACAACAACTCAACCTGTAAGAAATCGAAAGGACATAAGTACTTGTTCATTCAACTTTCGACCTATAACCCATGTTGAACTTGCAAAAACTACAATCAAATCTGAGATTTCTCAACCACAATCAGGTGAAACTCATGGGCGATCGCCCCCAGTGCAACTCTGGTGGAACTGCAACCAAAATTCGGTACAATGGGACTTAATAGAGAGTGGCCAGGCTCTCCGTAGACGGGCTCTACCCCCGCTCAGGAAATCCATTCTGCTCTTTGCAGCCAGCTAGCAAAGCCGTGATTCAGAGAGGTGGAAGCTCCCTCGCGTCGTACAACACTACGAACACAATCAAACA